ATGAATCTGTTTGCCCCAATTCCCCAAGTTTACACAAGATTTTGCCGTTTATCTTCCATATACAAGGCATAAAAAATGATATATCATATTTCAAGGGAGTAAGTGACGATAACAGAAGGGATTAGTTTACATCTACTCTCGGTGCCCCTGATAATCCGATAGCTCCATGTTTTACAACCTGCGCGTTATCAAATCACTTTCTCCTTTTGTTCATACGGTACACTCTAATTTGCATAGTCGTACGGTTATGCTAAGTGCTACAGGTAATATCGAGGTGAAATTAAACTCGACCCACATTCTTGAAGACTTAATTCTACAGATCTCGGAATTAGTATATCGCAACGATGAAGATAGACGTTAGATTAATATTCCAGTACGTCAAAAGTTTAATCCCTTTAATTTATACAATCGCGAGTGAATTAATTATCCTTCCCCTTTCAAATAGCGCAACGCGAACCATCTAAGTACACATAATCTCTCGTGATGTTAAGTTTCGAAGTTTTATTAACGAATTTCACAATTCACTCGACGAATTTTTGTTCCTTTATTCACGAATGCACGTGTGGGTCGTCTATGTTCGAGAATTTTCATTTTCTAAAGGCGCGTTTTCATTTTCTTCTTTTCCATTCGTACGTGTAGTATGAAAATTAATTATTCAACGTATTTAAATATTCATAAGTATTCTCTTTTTGTATGAAAAAACTGCTTCAATTCGTATGCCAGAAGAATTTTCAGTTCTATGAATACCTCAGTGAAAGAGGTAAATTAATATTCTGGCTATTTAGATATATCGCGTTATATTTATAAAGTAAAATATTATATTGTTGTATATTCGAGATAAATCATATTGTACAGGTTTTGGAAGTCATATATCGAGTTCATAAACAAATTTAACCCAGATGCCATTAGTGATCTTCGTTTAATCTGACGAAACATAGCCGCCAGTGGAGTAACAAATAACTGATCAAACACACTGAATCCAACAACAAGATACAACTCCCTGTTAACGTTCTATGCGCTAAATGAATATCTCCCGGCGTAGTTAAACCCTTCTAACGTGTACCACAAGCTTCCATTTTGGAATACGCTGTTGGCCATAATACCCAAATATTTAAAAAATAGCCAATTTATCTTGCTTGCTGAATTACATCTTCAATAAAAATCTATAGTAAATATTATTAATATTTTCAGCACTAATTTCGAATTGCTAACAAAATTAACAGGAGATCTAGTATGGTGTTTACTTTCTCAATATCGGGATCCTTTGTAATATTCGATATTAGTACTTTATAAAATTAAGAAACGGAGTTCAACTCCTTTTACTGACAGCACACTACTTTTACTGGCATACACCACCTAAAATAAATAAAATTAACCGGGGACTTTCCTTTAAGACTACGTTCCTGAGAATTATTCGCTATTACTACCCCTGGCAATGAATTTTCGACTAAACACGATAACAGGAAATTATCTAAAATTACTATGACTTTTACAAGTAGTGTGTCAAATATAGGCATAAAAATGAGTGATTATTATAAATAATAATGAAATCTTTATTTATTACCAAGGGGAATAAGTATTGGAATAAGTATATTAGTATATAACCCCTTTTATAATTCTGTTTTATTTCTCACAAGCAAGAGACTAAGAAATTAATTAAGTTGTTCATACTATTTTAACAAAAATTCACCAACCTCGTTGTATATGTATCTTCCAAAAACCAGCAGATTGTCAAAATATAAACAAATCTCTGTCTCCGCAACGAAAACCTTTATGACACCTTCACGATACAAAACCGATCTAACCAAGATGTCCATAAACCAGCAACGGTTCTCAAAAATTCGCGCTCGATACGAAGCATCTCTATCCAGCAAAAGGCCTAGCCACCTTTTAAGGTCGTCCCTCTCGAGGAACGGATTGAAGACACCTGGGGGTGCATCGATCGCGAGGAAAATGCGTGAAATAGAACGGAAGCCAGCGGGTTTCGATTTCGACGAAATGGTCGTTCAACGATACAGAATGGCGGCCGCACTTTCGGCGAGTTCGTGAACCAGGAGACGCTATGAACTTTGGTGACCCCAGGTGACCCCGTCGGTCGATACGTCACTACATCCACCCCGTTTCGCCCTGCTGGCTCACCAGCCAGCTCGAACCGTAGCCGGGTTCCATGGGGTTGCGCGGACCGACGTTAAAAACGAGGTTGCGATGCTTTTAATCGCTCTTCCCTTGTATATGTGTTCCCATTACCAGAAATCCCGGGGATTCTTGTTAACAAAGTAAACGCGAGGAAGCGATAAATACGAGAAGCAGAACCTCTGTCGCCGCGATGACAACGTCTCGTGACATTTACTCTTCTTGACGTACTCCTTTCGAGGTCCTCGCTATTATCCCGTATGATTCGTCGAGGGAAACAGAAAAAAAAAAATGGAAAAAATGGAGAAAATAGAGAAAAATGATGAAAACGAGGGAAATTTATGGCGATTCGGATAGCGTTGTTAAATACATGAGAATCGAGATTAGAGTGGCTTGTTGAGGTAGTATTACATGGTATTATCTGGGTGTAAAGTTATCGATACCCGAGCAGCTTTGTTCTTGTTTAACAATGGCGCACACTCCATGTCGATGGTTGCATGAAAATGTCGATTGTTTTAGAAAAAGGAGCAAGAGGAAAAAATACACTTTATTCTATAGGCTAATTATCGTGCATGTGGGTAAAATCAAGTCAAACGTGGGTTTGTCTTGTTTTGAATTATTAATCTGCTTTTTTCGTCCACTGAATTGTATTTCATGACTTTCAGGATGTTTGAGAAATTATTGGAATCGAAATGGACGAAAGAATACCATTTTGTAATTTATCTTGCAAAAAAAG